GATTTTTTTAAAATATATATTATACTTTATTTTTCATATTTTTTTTATACACGTTTCCAGTTTCATGTTCTTCATCAGGTAAAGAGTGGTTATTATAGCAAAAATATGGAAAATAAAGTAGAATATATATTTAAAAAATCCGCATTATAATAAAAAATGTTTGCGTTTTCTCTTCTCTAAAATATACACTTTTCTTTCTTTGGATCAACTATAACCTCTTCCTTATATATATATATATATATATATATATATATATATATATATATATATATATATATGCATGCTTCTTTTAAAAAAATACACTTCCATATTCAAATGTTTTTTCCTGAAAAGTCCAAGTCTACTCATTTGTATCCAAAACAAATTGTAAAGAATGGATTCATTTTTAATTAGATGTTTTTATTACTTCAAACGTTACTATAGTAGATACTTGTATTTGAAATAAACGCCCCATTTTTCATTTTTGCTTTAAGCAGTATGCATTATGCCTGTCAGCCTGCACATTCAAGAAATCCTAATGTAGAAACCTGATTGAATTTGTGTCCTCCTTTGTAGGAGAAACAACCATTTGATCTGGCATGCTTTGCCTTACTTTAACTAGAGAGTGTCACAGTTCAGTAAAGCTCCACTACCCTTTTAAACCGTGCTGAGCTGTGATTCTACTGTAGCCTAGTGGTAAAGCATGCCAGATCAAATGGCAGTTTCTCCTATAAAGTTATTAGGATTTCTTGAATGTGTAGACCAATAGATGGGAGACACACTATTTAAAATAAGAATAATAAATGCGGCATTTATTTCAAATATGAATATCTATTATAATAAGATGGGAAGTAATAAAAATAAATCTATTAATTCTTTAGAAATTTCTTTGTTAGATACAGATACAGGTTTTCCGAAAATATATCAATCTCTCTGCCACAGAGTGCATCGATGACCAAAGTTAAATAGTGCCTTTAAACATAGATTTTTCTCTGACTATCAAAATAGACATATCTGTTCAGCTTCATATCCTAATGTAAACAAAGCAATTTCTAAAGAAAGGGATGGATTTTTTTTATCTCGAATAATCAGGCCAGTATACAAAAATAAATAAATGCACTGTTTATTAAATAAATGGAGCATCTACTCAAATATGAGTATCCACTAAAAATAATGTTTAATTAACAAAAATCTGTTGAATTAATACATAAAAAATTCAATTCTTTCTTCAGAAACTGGCTGATTTATGTTAGAATACAAAACTGAGCAGATATATTTATTACAAGAGTCAAAGAAAAATCTGTGTTTAATGGCACTATTCATATACATATATTATTTATCTATCTATCTATGTATCTATTTAGATAATACACTAGCAGCATGGCCCGGTGTTGCCCGTGCTTGATTCAAAAATCGTACGACTCATACAGCAATCACTATCACTTGACTTAAAATATTTTTGCCCTTCCTTGGCTTTAAAGGAGTGCCCTTTGCCATGCTGATGTTGCTACATGCCTTACTTCTTGCCTATCTCACACTACAAATTTTTTCTAAGCTCTATACTAAACATTAAATCTGTTACGAAAAAAGAACTAAACAAAATCAACACAAAACGATCAGCTTTAAAAAAGGACTCGTAACTGGAAAAACCGAATGAAAAAAGAATGTTAACAACAAATACTTTTTCACACCCAACCCAGTTCTGCGGAATCAAAATCAACATTGTGTTTAAGCAAGCAATTGAGCCAATTGGAGTAAAGTGCCATGCAGATTTAAATTTTTCCCACTTCTGACGAATGCAGCTATCGATTTTTTTTGCATGCTAGCTAACATTCGTGCCAGTCAGCTGTTGGCTCTCACGCTGGCCAATAGAATCTTCCTGCCTATTCGTGGCAGCTAGCTATCACTCTGGTCAGTACAAAATGGCCGCAAAGTACATGAAAACTGCCATGCAGAAGCATGAAAAAATTGATTATTTCCACTATCGATGGGAGTTGGAAAATACAAAGTTTGTCTTGGCCTTTCTGCTAACTTGGAGCATGTGCATGTAAATTTTGGTGCAAATCCGTCGAAAATTGCGGCCGTGCTATTTGTTACACACACACACACACACACACACACACATCCTGCCTTTTATAGATAGAGATAAAAACTTAACGGTCAGAGTTGAATTAGACCAGGAAACAGTTCGGTTAAAAAGTGCTCAATACATGTGTGACAAAACAAAAGGGAAAATAGCATGTGGATCTTTAAACTTTAAAAATCAGGAGGTCAGTTGAATCTGCGACTTTGGTTTCAACCTTACAGTATCCTCAGTTGATTTTTTAACAAATGACCACTTAACGCTTTTATTTTACCAAAAAAAAAACCAAAAAAACTAAAGAATGCTACATTTATTATTTTCAAAAATAAACAAATGCATGACGTTGGGTGTAATAGAAGTTGCATGGATATTGATTTGTGACCCCCAGGGTTTCATGCTTTTGGTATCATCAAGTTTGTTTGATGACACAAAAGTGTGAAACCCAGGGCCACAAACTCAAATCCATACAACTGAATATGTTAGCTCTAGATATTAAGCACTTTCCACTAAGTACTGTGCATATATATATATATATATATATATATATATATATATATATATATATATATAAAAATCCTAAAGTGCCAGGAACTACCTAACTAGGTTTCACCTGAACATATCTTCAGGGTAATTTTATGACAATATTATTATTATTGTTGCAAAATTTTTGGTCTGACGATTCGAGGTTGGTCTGATCCTGTGAAATAAATTATTACCTATGGATTTCTAAGGCCTCTACTTTCATCATTATATATATATATATATATATATATATAGTAGCAAACGTTCTTTTGAATATGACATGATATATTCAATTTTAATCTTTTAAATTTGACAAGGAAACTTTAATTAATTCTTTATTCAGTTTTTCCAATGTTCTTACATTTTTCTATTTGGTGGGAATAAGGGAGTACAAAAATGGTCCATTATCCCAAGCACTTTCAGCCACTTCTTTAGCCATTTTCCTGGGGGTTTGTTTTAGTTACTGTTAATTTCTCTTCAGGTTTTGACTGTTTAAGATGTATTTCATTTTTGTGTTGTTTTGAATACTAATAGGAGCATTTTTTCCAAGATTTGCATGTTGGATGCAGCTGGAATTCAAGTGAGCATCTAAAACTTTCAACACCCCATTACCACTGTTGAATAAAGTGAGGTTGATAGTGGGAGCAAGATGTTTTATATACAAGGCCCCTCTCACAGTGAGATGTTTCCAGCAAGTTGATTTATATATGTTTGTGACCAGAATTTTCCTTAAGAGATCATGTAAATTATGAATGTCTAGGTGTTTTTTATGGCACTTTGATCTGATAAGTGACATGTGAAGCATCTACTCAAGGAGGTAGTAGTGTCTGATATAGGGAAGTGATTTATGACAAGAAACAGTCTTGTACTGGCAGTGAAACTGATATATAATATATATATATATATATATATATATATATATATATATATATATATATATATATATATATATATATATATATATATATATATATATATATATATATATATATAAGAGGGAGATAATATTAGTGGTTAATATATGTATATATATTTCCAAGAAGATAAAATCCAGGTAGAGCTCTCTGTACAAGACAGAGCAAGAATATAATATATAAGGCTCAAACACTAATATTTCATGGTTATAATTTATTACATTGGAATCATAATCATGATCCAATTCATCAGACCTACAAATTCAAAAAGAAAACATTTGTTTTGTTTTTTTTTTCTGATTTCTTTTTGAATTTGTAGGTCTGATGAATTGGATCATGATTATGATTCCAATGTAATAAATTATAACCATGGAATATTAGTGTTTGAGCTTATATATATGTATTCATGAATTATTCATACAAAAAACAAACACAAAGGTTAATGATTTAATTGGCGAGAAATCCATCGTCGCAAACAATTCAAATAATATACAAAAACCGCGAACCTGTTTATGCATGAAAAGATCCTTGTTTCTATAAATTTCTGTTGCATGAGTTCTTATTTTTACAAGCTTTCGTCTGTTCATACAGACATCCTCAGGTATGGAATAGATTTTGTTCTTGTTTTTTCTCTCAGTAATAAGAGGGACAACGAAAAATATATGTACTGTTGTAATCCGAAAATGCTATTAGAAATGAGTTATTGTTTTTGGAGCGTGCTGTCGCAATGCTGAGTTTGAATTTAAATTTTACAATTGTGCGTTCTTATACAAATATGGTGATAAGCGAATTCTTTTTTTACTTGTAAATTTTCTGTCAAAGTGGCATGAACTTTATTGTTCAATAATTACAGTAATGTCGCACTTATAATCCAAAAGTTGCATTTGGATCAGTTATTTTAATTTCAATAAAGGTGCAATTAATTTACAAATTCATGAATTATTCATACAAAAACAAATACAAAGGTATTTAATTGGCGAGAAATCCATTGTTGCGACAGAAATTTATAGAAACAAGGATCTTTTCATGTATAAACAGGTTCAGGGTTTTTGTATATTATTTGAATTGTTCGCGACAATGGATTTCTCGCCAATTAAATCATTAACCTTTGTATTTGTTTTTTATGAATAATTCATGAATTTGTAAATTAATTGCACCTTTATTGAAATATATATATATATATATATATATATATATATATATATATATATATATGACCTGAAGATTGCTTTTAAGCAAGAAACAGACTGTTGCCACTGGGTGTTGACCTCAGAGTCCACATATGTGTGTGTGTGTGTGTGTGTGTAGAATATAGAGGTAAAAACAATCAATATGTGGGTACAAGTTTGAAAGAATCCAACACCAATGAATGTTCTTCATTTCCCAGAATTTTGGTAAAGCCAAACCATTTTTCTTAGATTTTTATGAACCAAAATTTACTTGTAACACTTAGAAAAGATGAAAGGTGAAAATAATTTTGTTCTTATTTATTTTCTTTGCAGATAGTCCGAAAATTTTCAAGAGTTGGTGACACATTGGAACAAACTGTTTATATGCGGACCAGCAACACAGAAGAAATGACTAAACACCTACAAATTTCTTACCAAAAATTATAACTGCTGCCTATATTCTAGATCTGTTTGATTAATTGAACTTTGGGAGAAAGGTGTGTGTGCATCTCTTTCTCTCATATATATATATATATATATATATATATATATATATGACAAAATGAAAACTTATCTTAACCAACCCTTTTGTCCTCATGTAAATCTGTGTCCCAGATTTTTCAGATATCTCTGTTCCTGGAAGAATTCCTCACTATTGTTTATTAGCCAATAAATTACATCAGTTAGTGTCCTCCATAATTTACTGAGACTTTAGGCTGAATGAGTGTTCTTAATTTTTAAATATTTTGAAAAACTCGTGACATTTTGACTTTTATTTATAAATAGTTGTTGCAAAATAAAATCCTTATATTTGCCATGATAAAGTCTGTCAGAGGATGAAACACATTAACTAAGATAAGTTTTCCTTTTGTCTTCATTTATATTGTCCTTTTAAAGATACATTTTCAGTTTTCAGTTATATCTAAAACTTCTACACACACACACACACACACACATATATATATATATATATATATATATATATATACCCAAGTATATGATTGGTGTATATGGAATAAATTCTAATAACCAACAATTACTATTCTTAAGAGTGCTCAATACAGTGTAGAGCAGATATAATTATTTATTTAAAAATTTATAACATAAATATGTTATAAAATCACTACAAAAATATCCATTTTGTTTCAACACCTCTGGTGTTTTATCAAGTGATGATGTTGAATGTAGAATCTACATTCAACATCAACACTTGATAAGACACCAGAGGTGTTGAAACAAAATGGCTATTTTTGTAGTGATTTTACAACATATATATGTTATAATTTTTAAATAAATAATTATATATATATATATATATATATGTGTGTGTGTGTGTGTGTGTGTATACTTATTCATTTACATCTTACTGGCCTGAATATTTGAGAAATCTTATTAGAAAAATATGCCCCTCCAATGGATTTGCAAGGCTCGTCAGATCTAATGACAGTTTTCCCTAGGGGATATAAGTTCAAATCCTGCCAGAGGGTGCATATTTTTCTAACAAGATTTCTCAGATATTCAGGTCGATAGATGTAAATAAATAAATATACTGTTTAATATATAAATAAAAACAGAACAATGACTCAAGTATGAGTATCCATTTAAAAAATAACGTTTAAACAAATAAAAAAAATCTGTTGGATTTAAATCCATTTTCAAATATATATATATATATTGTGTGTGTAGATATTTTTCTCATTGCTACTAAAGAAAATAAGAAATCCTGTTGGATTAAAAAAAAAGAGTTCATGAAAATAGGATGTTTAAATTTCAGCTGCAATAATAAATATGGCAGATATAGACTTCAGAATGTTCCAACAAAATATGTGCATTTTCCTCAATAGGGTTATTGAGACCTACTTTGCTTCCTGTGGTCTTATAGGTAAGATACATCTGGCTGATTGATATAGGCAATACAAGTTCAATTCCTATTGGGACACATTTTCTTGAGCAGGATTTATCAATCTTTAGGTCGATAAAAATTAATTTCACTGGTGGAAAGAAAGAAAAAAAAACGGGTTTTTTTACTCAAACGTTTGTCCACAAAATACAACATTTCTCGTAATAAGAAATATTGGATTAAAAAATTGTTTAATCACTTTTAACATATGATATGGTTTTATTGTTTTAAAAGAACATGACTTTGAAAATAAATACGTTTGAAATACTTTTATCAGTTTATTGTTATTTATTTTGTGTGTGAAATTTGTGTGTGTCTCTTCATTTATTTTGTTTGATAGCATCTAAGGTCCTCACTGCCCCCTACCCCCCAAAATGGGTGAAAATGTTTCCTAAGTTTTATCTGAGAAATTACATCTAATAGTCTAATTTTTACAAAGAAGTCAGACTATCAGTACTTGTCACTAGTATGACTTCTTAACAATGCAATATTTATGGAGGGATTCTTATATTCCATAAAATATAGTCTCTCTCACTCACACATACACACACACATATATATACATACATTTATATTTTATACACACACACACACACACACACACGCACATATATGTGTGTGTGTGCAGGTATGTAGACAGATAGGAAAGAACATGTTAGGTAAATAATCCGGAGTTCTTTCGTATTTTTGTTTTTATTTTTAAAAAAAGCAGTGCTCCATAAAGAAGTAGAGCTTAAATTATAATTATTCTTTAAAAAATATGATTCCTTCGATATATAAGAGTTCTCGTGTTTCAAAAACTAGAGCCGAAAACCTCAATATAATTATTAAAATTAAATTCGGCTCTCGTTTTTGAAACATGAGAACTCGTATGTAGCGAAGGAATCATAATTTTTTTAAATAATTTTATATATATATATATATATATATATATATATATATATATATATATATGCTATCAATAATAGCACTTTTAAAAAAACATCGTTCAACAAGTATCACATTCATTTTTGACTTGGAATTTTACCTGAAATTGATAATAAGAAATAACATCTATGCCTGAGGATGGTAAATGTCTTACCAAAAGTAGTTGCAATATGGACCGAACGTCTAATTCATTTTACAATTAATAAAAGCGAGGATCACATCGTTCAGCAAGTGGTCAGTGAGTTAATGCCTTATTTAATCTGTTAGCGAAGTGAATTTGCCATTAATTACATTACTGATTTATTCTTTGAATGGCTACTTCTTTACAAAAAATATATATATATATATGATCGAAATAAAAGTATAAAATTTAATATTACAAGATATATTAAAACAGTATTAAATAATAAAAAAAAAAACTCAAGGCGGGAAAGCAACCGGTTTCGCTCATCAGGCTTCCACGGGAGATTGAAAATTAAAACAGAGAAATGTTCTGGAGGCACTTTACATCGGGTCCCGCAAGCCTTCTTTGTGCAAACAACGTGAGTGTTTGCTGGGACTCGCTGTCATCTGCCTCTAGTTCCTTCTTGCATATATACGAACATATATATATATGTGTGTGTGTAATTTTTTTTTTTCCACCTATTCTTACTATACATTTCTCTGTTTTAATTTTCAATCTCCCGTGGAAGCCTGACGAGCAGGAGCGAAACCAGTTACTTCCCCCACTTGTTGTTGAGGTTTTTTTTATTATTTAATACTGTTTTAATATGTCTTGTAATATTAAATTTTATACTTTTATTTCGATCATATATATATATATATATATATATATATATATATATATATATATATATATATATATATATATATATATATATATTATTGTAAAGAAGTAGCCATTCAAAGAATAAATCAGTAATGTAATTAATGGCAAATTCACTTCGATCATTAAATTTTGTACCTACAAAAATATCTTTAAATATATATATATATATATATATATATATATATATATATATAAAGTAAAATTATCCGCACTTATCTTTAGGTTTGTCACACTGGCTTCTGCTCATGCGTGCTTATAGTTGGTACAATTCTGGTCACATGATCTAAGTTTGAGCTTGATCGCACCAGTTTTCTTGCTGCTGTTATAGTGTAAACATGGCCACTCCACTGAAAGTGTACACCAAGGAAGATTAAAGAGCAGTGATTCGATTCCTACCACATAGAAGTGTGTATGAGTGGATCGAGACGTTTAAAAGTGGCCGGACAACCATGACACACGAAGAAGTAGCACGACGTTCATCAACCTCCATCATTAACGAGAAGATTCAGCACTCTCGAGTGATTTTAATGGAGAACTGGCATGGGTCATCCTCTTCAGATTCGGATAACTGCTCTTTGTTCCTCCTTGAGTAACACTGCTTTCCCAAGGGTATTAGCACGTAAGTGAATATAATGGATTCGACTGGAATTCGAACTCGGCTCTCCAATTTATCAATCCGAGCCACTATCCATTACTCCACTGTGCCTCCTAGAACACATGTACTACAAAATCAGGTTCAATTATAACAGATTGACTGATTTGGGGATATGGAGACTTGATGATGCAGCTTATAATAATAAAAGTCTCCTGCCTCACTATATACTCCAGTAATTTCTATCAAGAAAATTTAATTTTCCCTCCATATATCATTAACCCTTTGGGGCCTGGTTTCAAGAAAATAAATCAGAATTCTTAAAGTCCGTAGTTTTAATGTACTGTCATGATGAGGAAATGTTCATACAACAGATTAAATAATCTGACACAAAATAATACTTAAAATTGTTTAAGACAAAGATAAGTGAGTTCGTTGCTCACCGAAGGGATATACGATTTGCATACGTTCAAAAGTAGACGAAGATTGTTTGTAATACTTAGCTTTTTTTAGATTGTTGAGAAAAAAAAAATTTGAAGTGCTGCTTGCTGGTTAGAGGCCGATAATATAATTGGCGAATAATTTTACATTGGCGATTACATAATGCTGGTCATGAAGAACTGAAACGAAACATTTTACATAACTTCAGACATCCTTCTTATTAATTTAATCTTTCTTCTCATTTCATATCAAAAAGAATTTCGCGTAGGTTCGCTAGTTTGGCTGACCGGCTAATTTCTGCGAAGGCAAGGTTTTCATTGGTCCCAAAACAATTTCGCATAAGCTAGCGAATTTGTTTCCTTCTCCTTCCTTAGCTCACTGGTTAATTTCTGTGAAAGGCTAAAATCTCACACAGGCTCGCGAATTTCTTTCCTTCTTTTTTCCTCAGTCCTCTGAATTTGAAGGGAGTGGGTGAAGGGAGTTATTATTATTTCGCACTCACTTCAAATATCACCCTTTTTTATTTTCATTCAGTTATCACAAGGCTATATTTTCTGTGGGTGGAAGACAATTTGCTTGGAGTTAGACTTAAGTGTTTGCCAACTCTTTTACAGCCTAATTCGACACGCGTCATCATCCGTTTCACTAGACAAAGTATCCCAGCTTATACAAACATCCTTATCGGAGAAAGAATCGGCGCAAACTTTGTCCCTAGGTAACAAAATATTTAAAAAGCCGTGGATAACATTTCTAACGATCGTTTTCCTTTGTTCGATGATTTATGAACTACGGTAACCGGGACGATGTTTGAGAGGACGCCATTGTGAATCCCTAAACCCTTGAAAAGTCACACCAAAGCAAGTAAATACAGACTCACAGACGAGTTTCCCATTCTTGCCTTAAACGACTGCTTTGTATCTTGACTTGTTTCAACGCTTCTTGACGAACAGAAAAAAAAGCCATCTTCATCGCTTGTTTGCCGCGGAGAATGGCCATTCCAAAACTGAGATTATATCTTTTATCGCTATTTTTCGATTTCCTTGGTGTGTTCGGAGGCCACGGCTTTCGAGGTAAGTTTTATTTATTTTAATAATGTCGTCTTCTTTATAATTATCATTAAAGTTCAGTTGTAATAGTAATATTGGCCGTTTCCTTATAAGGAAACATTCGACATCCACTGATCTAGCAGACAATGCTACTCGAGTTATGCCTTTCTTCGTTCCCTGGTAATCGGGATGGGATCAAAGTGTAGTATCTGTTCTCGTCATCTCTAATGGTAATGGTAATATTAGCCGTTTCCTTATAAGGAAACATTCGACATACAGTGACCAAGCAGCCAGTGGTACTCGAGTTACGCTTTTCTTCATTTCCTGGAGATCGTGTTGTAACCAAAGTGTAGTATTTGTTCTAATTTCTAATAATAATATTGGCCGTTTCCTTATAAGGAAACATTCGACATACACTGACCAAGCAGACAGTGCTACTCGGGTTACGCTTTTCTTCGTTCCCTGGTAATCGGGATGGGATCAAAGTGTAGTATCTGTTCTCATCATCTCTAATGGTAATGGTAATATTAGCCGTTTCCTTATAAGGAAACATTTGGAATATACTGACCAAGCAGTCAGTGTTAATCGAGTTACCCTTTTCTTCATTTCCTGGCCATCGTGTTGTAAGCTTGGATGTGCGGGTGGTGTAATAGATAATGGCTCAGAATTTTAAATCAGAGAGCCGTGCTACTCGGGTTACACTCTTCTGCATTCCCTGTTAATCGGACTGGGGCCAAAGTGTAGTATCTGTTCTAATTTCTAAGAGTGATATTATCCGTTTCCTTATGAGGAAAAACATTCGGCGTTTATTTATCGAGCGGCCAGTGCTACTCGTGTTAATTCTTTTCTTCATTTCTTGGTCATCGGGCTGGAATCAAAGTGTAGTATCTGTTCTAATTTCTAATGATAATATTTAGCCGTTTCCTTATAAAGAAATTCCGTATTCATTGACCGAACAGTGCTATGTTCGGTTGAAATTTGTAACATTTTTCTATTGAAATAATATTTCAGAAAAATATGTCCAATAACTGTTATTACTCTGTCCAGTACTAGAAGAGTCTTCCTTCTTAACCTTTTATTTCATGTAGCTTCAGTGATCAGTGTCCAGCTCTTGGCATCGGCTTTTGTATATACGCAGGACATAGTCTCGAAAGTGATTAAATAGTTGAGGTTTGAAAATTTCGGTGTGGGGTTCCTCGCCAGGCATGTACGACTTTGCTGACCAATATATTTCCTCTTTCAGATCTAGATATTCAGTGGAGTTAGATCTTAGAAGATGGTTTCTAGTGGGTATTTTTCAGCGCCTACACGTCGCTACCGAATGTGACACAAGGTCGAGATTTAAAGTCGGTTTAATGGCAATACCGAGAAAAAATTGTCCAAGCACCGTCATCACTTCCCCTTTTGGTTTCACCTCAGGCAACGGACAATAAACCTAACCCCCCCTCCTTTGTTCTTTGTAAAGAAATATTAACCCTTCCTACTTTGAATCTTATCGTGACACTTTGCTCCTTTTAGCTAAATCGGGAACAAGTGGTACTGCCTGGGGGGGGGGCTCCCCTATGGCTTAGACTTAATATTATTTGAACCTCCTTGAGCCAAAAGGCCGAGGGGCCATGGCGACCACGATAAAAGTTACATTTTCAGAATCACAGTATCGAACGAAGTGAGGAAAAAAAAAAGTTACGATAAAAAAAATAACATTGTCTGCTGAATTATTTTAAAATTATTATGAGGAAAAATGTTCATAAGACAGGGATTTGGCTAGCAATAAAGAAAGAAAGAAAGAAAGAAAGAAAGAAGAAGGAAGAGAAGATAGATGTTCTCAAAAGGAGTAAAAAATTTAATTAAACAATCAGAAAATACTTTGATCCTAAAAATACTTTGAGAACATGACGATTTTGACGATAAAAGTACGTTTTCATTACGTTTGGGGTATATTTTCATCACGGTATGCTTGCCTGTCTTTATTTATGAGATTAAATGTTTCTCTAATTAAATAATCTATTATTTCTATTGCGTTTTTTAAATTTCGATTCAGAACAGATTTCATTAAAGCCAGGTCTGATTTTGTAAAAAATGAATTGGGTGATTTAAATTCTTCAAAGAATTCTGCTTTTAACTAATATAACCACTAAAAAATTACATTTTCATAAAATTAGATAAGGGGGTGTAACGCATGTAAAAAAATATTTTTACCAATATTTTCTAAAAAACAAAATTCAAAAATAATTTAATCCATTTGTGAATAAGTCCTGAAAATTTCATTGAAATCCAACAATTATTTGATTTTTGCAAGAATTTCTAAATTAATGCCTATCACCGCAAAAAAGCGGCCAAAAAAATGATATGCTAAAAGTTAGTGCAACTGCTGACGCTAGAAAAAACATTTTTTTTTTATCAAAATTTCGAATGTTCTCAAAAGGAGTAAAAAAATTTAATTAAACAATCAAAAAATACTTTGATCCTAAAAATACTTTGATAATAGCATAACGATAGATTGACGATAAAAGTACTTTTTGATTTTGGGGCATATTTTCATCACGGTATGTTGATTTTCTTTTAGCGTTTTCGTAGAGATACTAACTAATCGTGATTGTCCCCCATCCCCTTGCCTTCGTTAGCTAGCACGTTATATCCGGTCAAAACTTCGTAAATAATGAATAATTCCGCGTTTTGATCGCATGGAAAGAGGGGAAACGATATTTGGTTTCCGTGATAAATTGAAAGAAAGAAGAGAGAAGATAGAAGTGGAGAAATAACAATCAATATAAGCGCATAAGAACAGATACTATACTTTGATCTCGACCAAAAGACCGAGAAGAGTGTATTTATTTCAGCGCGCCCACATCGCTACCGAATGTGATACAAGGTTGAGATTTAAAGTCGGTTTAATGACAATACCGTGGAAAAATTGTTCAAGCCCCCTTGGTACTTCCCGTTTTAGGGGCACGTCAGACACCGGCTAATAAACCTAGGCCTCTCTCGAAGGAGATGTACTGCCGGGGGTGGTGGGGATCTCCCCTATAGCTTAGGCATAATATTATTTGATCCTCCTAAAGGCCGAGGGGTGACCACGATAAAAGTGACATTTTCAAACGATAGAAACCAAGTGAGGCAAAGAAAAAGATCAGTTACAATAAACAAACTAGCATCGTCTGCTGAATTATTTGATCTCGGCCAAAATCGTTTATTTCTTTTCAGCGCGCCCTCGTCGCTACCGAATGTGACACAAGGTCAAGATTTAATGACTATATGGTGGAAATATTGTCCAAACCCCCTTGGCACTTCCCATTTTAGGGACGCCTCAGTCGCCGGGCTATAAACCTAGGCCCCTCCTGCAGGATAGATACTGCCTGAGGGTTTAATATTTTTGACACTTCCCCGGTATGTACCAGATGGATTAGAAAAGTAGGCTCTATTTATGTGATTAGATGCTGCTGTGAAGTTAACATAGTAGGTATACACTTTTTATTGCAGTTGTTTGCAATTTGCTATTCATTAAACTTAGTTTCTGTTGGAATTTAGGTTTACAGTCACATCATCTTAAAAAACTGGTTCCCATACGATCCCCGAAGTTAAGCTATATAGAGCCCGGTCAGTACCTAGATGGGTAACCGCTTGGGAATACCAGATGTTGTAAGTTTGGATGTGTGGGTGGTGGTGATAATGACTCGGAATTTTTAATCAGAGAGCCATTCTACTCGAGTTACTTTTCTGCATTCCCTGGTAATCGGACTGGGACCAAAGTGTAGTATCTGTTCTAATTTCTAATAGTGGTATTATACGTTTCCTTATAAGGAAACACATTCAGTATTCATTTACCGAGCGGCCAGTGCTACTCAAGTTACGCTTTTCTTCATTTCCTGGACATCGGGCTGGAACCAAAGTGTAGTATCTGTTTTAATTTCTAATGGTAATATTAGCCGTTTTCCTATTGTTGTAGCATACGTACAGATGATAATGGGTTATGTCCCCATTCGCATAAAGGCAGTAGTAAATACTGCATGTTGGTCTTCATTTGGAGATTCGTCTCCAGCTGTGCTGGTCAAAGTGTCTGCCTCCGGGCAGAGAGGATCCCCAGACGATGCTATGTCGAAGGGCAGAGTCTGGTCTCGGGAAAGAGCTACTCAACCCCGTTTTATACGGGGCCTACGGGGAATTTTTGACCGAGCCTACGGTCTCGGATACCCCACACTATATTCGGCCTTGTGCCACATCTGATCGCGTGGGGCGGTTGGTAGATATCCTGCAGTTGGGGATTCGTCTCCAACTGTGATGGCCAAACTCTCTGCCTCCGAGCAGAGAGGATCTCTAGATGAGGCTATGTCGGAGGGCAGAGTCTGGTCTCGGGAAACTCGGACACCCCACATTAAATTCGGCCTTGTTCCACCTCTGATCGCGTGGGACAGTTGGTAGATATCCTGTAGTTGGAGATTCATTGTGGAATTCACTTGACTCTCTTGTAGCAGTTTACTACTACTTCTATGCGCCGTTGGCGAATCTTATATGTGTTGTTCTTGTTCTAAGTATTATCGTTTATTACTAAACTTCGTGTGATTATTCTATTCAGTAACCTTCTCTAGATTACAACACTTATAAGGAAACATTCGGCATTCATTTACCGAATGGTACTGTAAGTATGGATGTGCGGGTGGAATAATGGATAATGGCTCGGAATTTTTAATTAGAGAGCCGAGTTACAATTCCAATTGGGTTAGTTATATTCACTTACGCGTAAATACTCTTGGAAATATATGAATCTACCTTTTCTCTCCCCATCTATGGATTAATTAGTAAGATTTGTATTACTAAATCATTATTATATCCCCATTCACAAATGAATTTTAACAATCTAAAAACACATTTTCTGCCTTTAAATAACCTGCAAAGGGTTGATAAACCGTAAAAACGAATCCATCATAGTCATAAAATATCTGAATTTTTGGAATGACTTATCATTATTTACACCATTTATTCACATTATTTTCATTTTTGTTGCACGTTTCGACCGTTGTCCTCTCCGGTCTTCATCTGGTGTATACTGATCTGGGTAAGTGTTTACTCTGTTCCCCCACTAGGACGAGATGTTACACAAGGTCTATTTTTAGGTGGGGGATTCGAGCGCGTACACCCGGGACAGGAACAAAAATTCCCCTCAGCCTCCGCAACCGTCGGTTGCGATGGCCTCAGTGCGAGCACCGATCCCTCCCTCTGATGCAATGGGATGGCGCGGCCTCGGCCAGCCGTTCCCCAGGGCTGGGCACCTCTCAGTATTATTTTCCCAGTTGTTCCTCTGTCCTTTGAGAGAGAAGCCCCTGAGCGCACTCTGTCCGTGTAACTACTCAAATGAGTAAGATCTGGGTAACCTACAGGGGATTCTGAGTTGAACCCTTTATTCAATATACGGGAGTACACTGTTCTCGGTCCATTGCTGAGAACAGTATACTTCCGTTGTTTAACTATCCACCGGTTGAAAATTACTGATGTAGGATGATGGATTTGTCATTAGAAATGCCTCCGCTAAACAGAAATTATTTGTGATTCAAATCCATAATTAGTTTTATGGGAATGTGTCTTTTCTGACCGGTAACGTTATGACAGTTACTCGTTTATCTTCACAGGTATTCATCGATGTCATCATTTCAACAATACTACTTACCTGCTAACGCAAAAGACTTTAAACTGGGACCAAACTGCGAAGTACTGCACGAGATTCCAAGGTCGCTTTCCGATTCCGCAGAATAAACTGCAAATGGATTTTCTCTCAAGCAGAATCGACTGGAACGGCCTTAAGTATTGAAGCACTTTCTTTCATTTGCTTTCATCATTGTCACTTAGCTTCCTTTCAGCAGGCTGTGATAAGAAATGCCGAAACCTTATCAGTTTTTGTTCAGTTCAAATGCACCCTATGTCAGAATACAAACGCAGTATTTCATTTTTTTCTTCTATAAGTATATTGCCATATAATTTAGGCTCTACTTTTGTATTGAGTACTGTTTTTTTTTTTTTTTTTTTTTTTTAAATAAAAACAAAAATACTAAAGAACATCGGATTATTTACCTAACGTAGTCTTTCCTATTTTTCTATATATTTGAACGCACACACACACACACACAATATATATATATATATATATATATATATATATATATATATATATATGCTCTCGGAGGCCCAATAGAATCGTGGCTGCTATTAATGTATTGCTCTTCAAGTACGAATTGAGCTCTCCTGGTTAGTGGCGTATTTTGTATAGAGAAACGAAAAAAATTCCCTTTCTCTCTGCTTAGGGTAGGATCTCTGACTGATGCCAAATCAGTAAAGTTTCGATCACGGCCTAAAGCAATCCGACGTCTAGCCACACTGAAGGGATGTGGTATAGCGAAACCGTCTATCTGACTGATGACTATATATGACCACGGGGCCATGAGCCCATCATATATATATATATATATATATATATATATATATATTTTTTAAACTATAATTCTCCATGATTTTCTAATGACGTCTTTTGTTTACATTTGGATGCTCATCGAGCAGATATGAATGTACGAGAGAAAATCATGGAGAATTGTAGTATAAAAACAGTAAAATCGACCTTCCTAACCGAAACGCTCCTATGTGGCTAAATCGGTAAAAGCACGTCAGGCTATATATATATATATATATATACATATATATATATAAGGTCTGTCTGAAAAGTAACGAGACTGATCATCGTCAACACAGAGCCAGACGGTCGATGAACAAGTCTGTAAAGAGATCCTGCCGAGTTTGCTTCGCTCAGTGCGCGAGAAGAGACGAGAGTTGCAGCAGGATAAATCGTGGCTGCTACAATGCACGTCCTCACAACACCCTGAGCATCCGACAGTTACTGACCAAGAAGAACATCATCATACTGAAAGAACGTCCATATTCACCTGATCTTGCTCCGAGTGACTTTTTTCTTTTCCCCAACCATCAAGGGGACCTGTTTTGAAGGCCGGAAGTCATCAAAAGGGCCGTATGGACGGAGCTGAGAGCCACCCTAGAAGAATTCCTTTCAGAAGTGTGTAGAACTTCTGAAAGAAGTTCTATACACCTAGACTCGAAGAGAATTACTTTGAAGGGGAATTGTTTCGAATTGAAATAAATTGTTTTTGAGACGCGTCTCGTTACTTAGATTTTAATATTTAACCCTTGCTGTTCCACGATTTGAATAATTTTTATGTTACATCCGGTATCTATATATATATATATATATATATATACACACACACACACACACACACACACACACACACACACACACACACACACACACACACACATACCAGTGCTTTCGGCAAACTTCGCCATCGCTTGTGGAATGAGCGGGGTATTCGACTGGATACGAAAATTCGGGTTTACAGAGCTGTTGTACTTGCCATCCTTTTGTATGGCTCAGAGTCGTGGAATCCATACAGGTACCATATACGCCATATGTTTTCCATAAAAGCTGTCTGCGTGCCATTTGCGGAGTTAACCTTCAAGACAGGACATCTAACGTAGACCTATTTAATAGGTGTAATATTGGAGGAATCGAGATTTTTCTCATACAGACTCAGTTACGATGGACTGGTCATGTCTTGAGAATGTCTGATGATAGAATACCCAAGATCCTAATGTACAGCCAGTTAGATCAGGGCTACAAGAATGTAGGACGCCCATGGCTAAGATACAAAGACAAGCTGAAAAGCAACTTGTCAGCAGTCAATATACCTCATAACACCATCGAGCGCTTAGCTATGGATCGGGTAGAATGGCGATCTACGTGTTTTAGTGGACTCACCAGTTTTCAACCTACTTGTCTGAATCGTCTTCAAGAAGCGAGAGCAAGATCTAAAAGGTCAGCCAATCTAATAGTGATCTCATCCCACTAGTCTCACTCTTGCTCCATATGTAAGTCACTATATAAAGAGGTAAACAATTGTTTTTTTATTAATCTGACAGATTTTTATCACTTTAAATTTTATTTTGAGTCGTCTACTCTTATTTGGGTAGACGCTCCGTTCATTTTAAAAATGTGTATTTATTTTCGTCTAACGGTTTGATTATTCGATAAATTTTTATAAATAATTAATGTACCGACTCGACTCCAAAGAGCCTTACTGATTAGGCCAGCCGGATACTGTCATTAAGTACAATCATTCTCGTTCTAGATTCCCGATAGTTAAACGATATAACTTTTCATATATGAAGAACAATTTTAGGGGAAAACCTTTGACAAAATGGAAAAGGTTTTCGTGCGATGCGCTTCGCCTTTAGGACCCTTTTCACTGGGCTAAAGTCATGTTTACGTTGATGCAACTACACATGCGCACAAAGAAGTGCAGACGTTGAGAATTTTAATTCTAAATTATTCTTTCTTTTTTTGCATATATCTTTTGGGTATATTGACTAGCCAGTTTCATTTAGTTTCTTTTTATTTTTGCTCATATTTCCATCCTTTTGATATTAAACATCTCACATTGTGATAATAGAAGATCTGTAAAGAAAGTAAAATGTTCTAAGAACCTGGACGTAAATTTACCGTGGATGATCTAGCGATTAAAGCACTTTCTATATATTTTCGTCTTCAGTAAAAATGCATAAAAAGTACTTTTATGCCCGGTATAA